TAATGAAATGGCCGCAAGCTGGGCACAATTTCCGCTCACACCTGAGCGGTGGGAGGCAGTCGGCGGTTGGGGGCGTGGCTTGTTTTTAGGGTTAAATAGAGTTCATTGGGAGCGTGTAGTGGGTTTTGGTAGGGCCAACGCTTCGCTTGATTAATTTCTCTGCATGGAATATAATTAATTTGGTATTTACACACCACCCCAGCCCTCAACTGTACTGTGAGCTCAGCTAATTTTTGGCTATATTAAATTAATTATTTAGTTATGGTTGAGAAACTATTACCTTAGAAATTTTTGCAAGAAAAATCAGTAGAGTTTTTAAAAAACCTCTAAAGGTGTCTAAAAGTAGGCAGTAAGAAAATTATGTGGGACTTCCGCATACAATATTTAATGTTGCATACTTTCAGACACGTGCATAAAAAATGACACACTTTATTTAATACTTGTCATATATATTTTTAAGTGCTTGAAATTAATGTCCCTTATTTTCAGCTATTTAAAATTAGCTTACCTAGGTACATTTGGCAGCACTGACCCCCGCCGCCTAGAAGTCATTAGCCAAATTGTTAGACATTTTTCGGCGACAGGTGCTTTTACGCTAAGTGTGAGAGCTGGGCAGACTTAGGATGTCTGCTCTTGAGGCAGGCCATCCTGTCCGAGTCTCAACGGGATGTCCTTCCGCGTCCTTTTTGGAAAACACTTTGCAGCACTTGATGAGCCAGCGCAGTGGGTCATTTAAATTCATTACACAAAAACAAACTCGAGGCTGGCCGAGAGCCGTTAATTGACCACAAAAGTGGAGCGAATGTCCATGGCTCTGGCTCTGGCTACGGATTTTCTGGCCTCATCTCCAACGGACTCCATCTCCGGTGCTACGCTGTGATAAACTTTCATGAATTTTCATTTTCGCCGCTTTTGTGGTCGCCACGGTAAACTGGCAAACTTGATGCGACCGTGTTAATGGACCGACCATCCAGGAGCCGTCGAACAGCTGCGCTGTGACATTGAAATCCTTTTTAGCCCTGGCTGCGGCAAAGGAAGCTCCTTTTCGGCCAAGGAAGTTGACAATAGTGGCCCTGGTCCACCCGCCCCCCGTTGCTCCTGCTTTCCTGGAATGCTAAGTACTTTCCCTAAGTGAATAATGCCAGACTTCGTCCGACGAAACTATGCCAAACTCGATTTGAATTGAGAAGTGCCGCCACCCAAGTTCCGCCGAACAACTTAACCGTTTAATTAACACAAACAACTGCAAATGGTTTTATCAATTTCAATCTGGCCAGGGCGATATTCAATTTAGATTAGTTGACCGAGGGAGAACCAGGGAATTTGAATTTATTTAATCATGAACTTCGGTTTAAAAGGTTTGTAAATTATTCGGATTTGGTTAGAACTTTTGCAAGTAAAATGTAGCCAACGAATATGTTTTCCTTTTGAATAAACGTATCTTAAATCGAAGTTTAGTTCTTGTTGGGAAATTAATCTTAAGTAAATTATCTCTACATTTAATTTCAGTAAACAAAATATTTGAATCAAAAATCATGTAAGGCTAGAAATATTTAACTCAAGCCTGTGATTCATTCAGCTACTTCATTTTTATGAAACTGCTACTTAAAATGTCCAATTATCAGGCCTTAAATTTCTTATTACAAGGGCTAAAAAGCGTCATTAAATTCTACTTTCCACTTTTAATCACTGTGAAATGTGGACTGTGTCCTGGACCAAAAAGCGAGACCCGTAATAAACTGAATCATATCGGCTTACACATACACTTAGTAATTAAGCAGGGAGCTGATGACGGATGGACCGCTGATTGGAGAAGGTCCTCCGACTGCCGAGCGGCCGTTGATGAGCCGTTGATAGGCCAGATTTGCCAGATTGGCCGGATTGGCAGCCTGGGCCTGGAACTCGTAAATCAAAAGCTGGCTGTGGAGCGTTGCCCGAGAATCCCGGACTCCCAGTGACAGCAAATGTTTGCGAATTTTATGCGAATTACGCCTAATTAGCATTTCTGCAAGCGGCCGGGGATCGAGAGTCGGAACGAGAGTCGCAACGAGAGTCAGAGTTCGCTGCCGCCGTGTCCCTGATGATTATGTGCGCGATTTCATATGCAAAACATAAGTGCCTGTGCACTGAGAAAAAAGAAAGTCAACAAAGTGAACTAAACGATTTTTTTCCAATTTTATATTTTAAGGGATTTTCAACTGAGAATTGTAGTTACACATGGTCTGATATATAGAGAATTTTGATAATGCATTAAAGATTTTTTAACGATTTTATATTTTAAAAGATTTTTAAATTTTTTACATTAAATTAGGTATTTGGAGAATTTAAAAAATGCATTACAGATCTTTTAGAGATTATGTATTTTGAAAGATTTTTAATTAAGAATTATAGTCACATTTTATATTTGCATTAAATAATATTTTTAAAGATAATTTATTAAAAATGATTATTAATTTATAAATCTTTTACACTTTAGCTGTGCCCTATTACTGTTTTAGTGTTTGTTTAAATTAAATTTTAAATATTGTTCGTTTTAATACTTCTTGAATAATTTATTACATTTAAAAAAGAATATTAACTTGTTAATTCTTGTAATCTCATTTTCGTAATTTTGTAATTTTAAATAAAACTTAAGGATCGCACAATATTTTTTAAGGCTTTTCCATGGTCAGAAAATATTTAAGTAAATGTAATATGAAATATGAACTTTTAGGTTTCTGCTTTTTCCTTTACAGCCATCTACCAAGTATATCCCAGCACTTTTCTCAGTGTAGCTACAAGGGGCATGTCATGGATAAAGCCCATGGCGTTGGCGATGGCAGATGGTTGCCCATCCGTTTGCTGTTTGCAAATGTTGGGCCTAGAAAAATGCATCGTTACTCCGGGGCCATATCTCATTAGAATGTGGTGGGCAGGGCAGGGCAGCTGGGGGTGCTACAGAGTATAGACTGTAGACCATAGAGGGTGCCAGTGCCACCTAGGGACTGTTGATTCTGTTTGCTGTCATCGAAGTCAAGGGAACGCATCCCAGTGCATCGCAGGCAAGCCAATAAAATTATGCGCCATCGGAATGTGTGCGACCGAGTGGAGTAAATTGTATTTACAACCGCACATCACCCGGCACATGGAGCATATGGAAGCAGTTGAGGCGGAGCGGCGGATCCCCAGACCCTCGGGTCAATTGCCGGATCGGGGCACCCGGGCACCCGGGCACTGGGGAGCTGGGGAGTTGGACAGGAGTCATGGAGCAGCCACGGAACTACTGCCCTGCCTACAATCGATTCCACAGCGAGGCGTCATCCAAGTGGCCGAATGTTGTGGTTGTTTGTGCGGCGTCTGGTTTGCATTTCCCTGCATTAGGAGCTTCTGTGCCACCAATTATGGCATATATCATTAACGATACTCTCGAAAATAGAAAGCCCTAGGACTGCTTTATGTTTATAAAATATTATAACTTTATAACTTGAACGTAGAAAAAATGTACATAATTAAATTATAATATAAAAAGTATATTGTTGATTTCTTATTTTATTTGTTATTTAACAACAATAATTTTCGGAAAACAAGAAGGGGGACACACAACAACGCAGTTTTTTAATACACTTCAATTATTTTCGTCGCTCAATAGGAACTCATTTCGTTTTTGCATATATTAAATGTTACATATTTTTCTGAACTGAAATGAAGAGCATTTTCCATTCAGCTTATACGTTTCATCCCACATTTATTTTTAGATTTCTTTGCAATTTCACTTGCGAAGCGTCAAAGTCTTTCCCGCGACCCATGGGGACAGGGAACGTGATCTGGTTTTGTTTCGTTGCCGCATCTGCGAATTGAACTGGGACTGGCGAATGCACTGAAAACAATTTGGGCAACGTACTTAGGTTTATTATTGTCAACATTTTGGTACATTAAAAAACGCAACTTTTTGGTTTATCACCAAGTACGACGTCTAACTGACTGAATTTTTTTTTAAAAGTCATGAAAGCCTAATGAAAATGTTGATACAGTTCAAAAACATTTTATAAAACAATACACAGTGATTCTACAGGTTGCCATTTAAATTTAAAATATCCTTAACACTCTAGTAATAAATTAAATCGTTTTAAATTTAATTTAACTTTCGATTTTTTTATTTTATAAAATATTTATGTAATATTTATATTTTATATATTTATATAATAATATAATAATAGGACCTTTACTTAAGATTTCTAGGCTCAAACAGTCCAATATATTAAGTTAAATTTGCAATTGCATATTTTACTTACTAAATTGTTTACATAAATTCCTTATTTAGCAAAAAATCAATTTTAAATGTAGCTACTCTAAGTATATATTTTTTTTCTGTGTACCAATGGAGCCTGGCTTGGGGCTGGGCGCCATTTGGGGTCTGTGTGGCCGTTGTTCCTAATTGCTGGCTCCTCCGAAAGCGGACATATCAAAGGGCATGCAGTTCTGGATTCTGCGCGGGGTAAAGGGGTTTTATCTGCTTTGGTCGCCAGCGGAGCGTGGCTCTTATTAATGATTAATTAAAAAAACTGCTGAAAGGGGTTCGCGATTCTCGGTTTCGGTGGGTTGGGGAGATAATGCTTATGACATATGTGGCATTTAATTGGGCAAACAAAACGAGCGGCCGGTATTTACTGATGGGAGTTCAAAAGAGAGAGAATGGGAACTCCCCATTCCGGTGCCGAGGAAAACTGAAGCGCTTCCAATGCCACACATTTGGCTTTTCCCTTCCAGTGTGGCAAACTAGTTGCGCTTTCCCCCGTGGACGAAACGAGTGGCATACGAAACAGGCACTCTCTTAAGGCTCTCTCTTTCGTGGTGTGGCAGGTCGCGAATGGCGGGTCTCTGGGATATTCCGGTCTTATATGGAGGGGCTATTCCGTAGCCGATGTTGCCAGCCGACGACGAGGATGATGGGCAACGAAGCCAGCCGCCGCCAATGCGAAGTTTTTGGCTTGGCCAACTTGCAGAATCAGTCGTCAGTTTGTCCTAAGCGGATTTGGTCGACACGTGTATATGTGTGTGGTTTGGGGATTCAGGATTCAGGATACAGCTGCAGCTACGATTTCGAATACGATTCTGATTCCGATTTTTGCAAGGAGAGAAAGAAAAGCTACCTGCAACACAGTAAAGTCGTGCAGATTGGCGCGTGAATTTAACGCTTGGCCTAGGTCACGTATCGCACGTGTTTCTGACAGGAGGACCTCCTGCTCCCCCGCAGGACCTTCCCACTTTTTTCGCCGAGTGTGTGTGTGCCTTTGATTAAGTGTTCGCCTTGCATGTGTGCGGTTGACATTCGATTTACTTTCGCCAAGTTACCGGAATCAAAAAAAAAAAATAGAAGAAGAAATCTGTAAGGGACGAACACTTCCCGCAGAATTTTGCGCCAGATCTAAAAACCAAAACCAAAAAAAAAACAGACTCTTCCTGTGTGCATATGTGCGGTCGATATTTGCATAAATTAAAAAAAAATAGCATAGTCTCCAGCGTCCTCCACGGTGGCCTAATGAGTTTTTAATACTCTGCCGGGCCCTCTGATTGTCTGTGTGCGATAGCAGGAAAAAAGACGTAGAACTAACAAAAAACCATTGCCACAGGATTTTCGGTTAATTTATTGAGCCAGCAACGAGTTTAGAACGTGTCCGAAGCAGACTGGCAAAAAAATTAGCCGCCAAAGAAAACTAATTTGCACTTTGAAGTCAACTGAAACGTGGAAAGTTTGTTTGGGTAAGTGACACTGATCGAGTTCGAGTTGTTCAAAGTGTAAAGTTCACCTGCAAACGGGGTTAAATTAGTTCAAAGTTTGCGCGAATTTTAAATTAGATGGCTAATAAATTTGGTGATTGTTAAACAGGGGACCTTACGAAAAACTGCAGACTTTAAAATTAATTTATTGCACAAAAATACATACAAATATTTAAATTAATTCATAAAATATGTTAGAAAAAAGCTAGTAATATTTTCAAAATGATTGTATTTATTATACAGTTATGTAAATATTTTATTTTTATATATCAGAGTAAAAAAGTACTAAGGATTAGAAAGCGGGTTATCAAAAACTTATTAAAAAGGTATCTAAATATCTTTAAGGCAAATAAATAAATATATGAAAATATATCTCTCAAAACTAAATTGACTAAAAGTATTTTTTAAATTCTATAGATTAATATCTGAATTTTATAGTCCTAGCAAAATATAGGAAACATAGTAAGCAAAAATCTCTTATGGAAGTATATAGAATTTCCAATTTGCAGGTGGAACAACACGCTTTCGCTTGGCAAACCCTTATTTAATGACAAAATCGATTGGCTGTCCCTTTTCGTCAAAACAAACAAATTGCGTTCGATATAAATTTCCCTCTCGCCCATTACACTTTCGCCAATACAATTTGCTGTGGCATCCATATACCCAAGGCAATTTGCGCACTGCATTGTCAAATATTTACGAAATTTCAAACGGAAGCTGGAAACATTGCAAATTGAGCAAACAAATGTCCTTTTTACGAATACCATTTGCACCAAAAATTGCATATTGCACAACAATGTTGAACATGTCAAATGATTTCGGGGATTCGGTATTCGGAAATTCCAGACTTAATCTTGGACTTATCGTTAATGATTAGTGACAGAGCAATGACGGATTCCTGGGCATTCCACTCTTGAATTATTAATGGAAATTATTAGTTTGAGCCTCTCTGCGTGGAGTATCTTTGGGATATGTTTCTTGGCAATATGCAAATCAGGCAATTTCGCAGCGGCTGCAACTTATCAAGGCTGCACTGCAGGCAGAAACATTAATTTAAATTTAAATTTGATCTCTCACATATCGAACGGCAATTATGGGGAAAGAGGGAGAGAAATGATTCGAATGATTATTTTTTGCACTCGGAAATTAATTTGGTTTGATGATTGTATTGCGGCAGGGGATTTGGGTTTGGGGATTTGGCTTTGTTTGCTTTGGCCTATCAAATAACCCAAAATCCCATGTAACTCGAAACAATTCCAATTAATTCAGCATGTTTACAAACAAATATTTATCTAAGCAAACGCAATATACATTTCCCTGCATAAGTACAACCGAACGTTTAGTTTAGCTATGCGTTTGGCAAAAATGCTGGGGAGGTAAAAATTGCAATGACAAATATTAATTAAAACAGCCTGACCATCTCGGGTGAATGTAATTAGTTTGTAATGCGAACATCAAACACATTTCTTTTATTGGATTACGGGCTATGGAGGCAAGGTTAAATGCGTTTGGGGAACTGATTCCATTTCGGGGAAATGCGATTAAGTAAATGTGTCAAATGCATTTTGTGCTGCACTCTATACAGTAAGGCATTTAAGTTAATTTTAATGTTTTTTGCTTAATGCGTTTTTTATGCACTCACACGCGGCGTATACTTGACGTATACAACGCGGCGTATACTTGATGTGTCGGCCTCAAAACTTCCATTTCACATGCAATTCGCTCACCACATGCGGCAAACAATTAAAAATAATTATTCCCAATTTACGAGGACAACAATTTTCAATTTGAGTTTTACTTTTAAACCCCTTTTTCTTTCTTTTTTCTCATCCTATTTTCTCTGAATGGTTGGGGAGTGGTTCTTTTTTAGTTGGATCAACGTCAATTACGACGTCTTTGGTCGCTTTTCAATTCGGTTCGGAACCGATAGCGGATGCAGCTGGCAAAGGAAGCGAAGCCCTGGCCATCCGCTCCAATTGTTGCCACGCGCTTCCCATGCTAAGCAATTAAAAAATAAAAAAAACGTGCATTGATTGCAGCTGCCACCGCACATGGCGCATAGTTGCATAGTTCTATAGCCGCACGTGTGGCTCGCTTTTTTATCGACCTCTTATTTTTCCCATTTTCCCCCATGGACACAAAGGACATAATACCTGACTGTCGGCGGTGAAAGGGAAAATTGATATGAATTGAGTTGATGCGCTTTGTGGCAAGCAGCTCTCCGTGAGTTTGATTTCCTAGAAAAGCGCTGCCGCAGCTCGTGGCAATAATAATTTCCCATTGTCTAGGTTCGTCGGGGACTTAAGACTTATAGGGCGGGACTTCTGCGGCAAATTAGATGCAAAACTTTAGTAATTTATACGCCAGCAAGGAAATTAAAAAGAAACCCAAATATGCCAAGTTGGGGAGATAAATCTATGCAATATGAGAATTTGAGAATAATAAGCACTTTATAAAATTTATTGTCTTATAATAAGAAGTTAAAAAACTAACTGATGTCAAAATCTCTATTATAATTAGTTTTTTAATCAATAAAATAATTAAATCTCTTTAAATATAGCATTTTCTATCAATTTTTTAATCAATTTTCAATGTTTCCAATTAGTACTCGAGATCAATTTATTTTTTTGTGGTGATTTTTTGTTTTACTCAATTAAAAACCACCTAGCCAACTTAATGACCTAGCTAATGGCCTCTTTGGCAGTCACCTGTTGAGATAGATAGATTCCATAGTACTTTGGTCTACTTTTAATTGAGTTTCGAATGTGCGTGTGCGAAGCGAACTGAAAAATGGGGAACGAAATGGCACAAAATTAATGCGGACAGTTGACTTTTCCGACATTTTCATTGCCACATCTGCCACTTTTCATGGCGAGTCACCTTAAAATTCATTGGCCTCACCTTCGGTTCCTTTTTAATACCCTCTCCCCCCCCTCTACATGCTTATGCAAATCGCATTTTAATAAACTTGCCTTGCGTCAATTTTCATTTACATTTAGTCCACTGGGGCGTGGTGCCGCCTTTTTTGCTCTCCCTTCTTTGAGTTGGAAGTCCCAAAACGATACAGAAAAAAATCCTAATTAAATTTGAATTTACTTTAAGCATTTGGGGCTTTGTTTGCTTTGTTTTTCAGTCTCGCATCCTGCGTGGGTACCATTTACGTTTATTATTTTCCGGTTTTTCTTTTCTGTTGATTGCTCATTAAAATTTGAAATTTCATTTTGCTATACATAAAAACGCAAAAAAGAAACGACAAAATTCCGCCAAATTGAATTGAATTTAATATCAGTTTTCTAATGGTTCTTCTGCTCATGAATTCTGTCTTCTGACGTATGGGGAAAATTGGTCTGGGAAATGGGAAAATGCTATGGGGTATGCCATGCCATAATCTTTGATGAAAATATGCAAAAATAAATATGGCGTAAGGAGATAAAACGGGTCTGCTAGAAAATCAATGCTAAATGCGTTAAGTGATTTTTAAAGTACATTTAACAGGGGTAGGCACGTGACTGCCACGCCCCCAGCACCCACACACATTCACACACCCACACATACTCACATATCTGCAACATATTTCTGGTTTTTCGGAAAATATAAAACATTTTCGGTGTTTTTCGCTTGTTTTGCTTGGGGTCACAGGCAAAAATGGAGGACGGAAGTGGGCGCCAAGTCAAATATGTATGTGTGTGGGTATTGACAAATGGGTTGGGGGTTGGTGGGTGGTGAAAGGTGGGTGGCACACGGGGGAGTTCAACTGGCAGGGGGTCATGAGTTACTGTGGCGGCAAACACATGTTTGTAATATCCCTGTTGATTGTTGACTGCCTTCGGTTGTCGCTGCTTTTCAACTGCTAGATGCCGCCGATTGCCAACAAAACTGTTTGGGGGCTTTCATGTTGTCCAACACATATGACACAATTTGTTAGATACTTGTTTTTAACGGTACATTTCGATTTGAAGACTTTTTAATGTGTGATCCAGTGTGCTTAAAGTTAGCTAAAAATGTTTAGCTTTTAAAATGGAAGGGGCCACCGAAATCGCTAGGGGTTTGAAATCAACAAGAAAGGTGCCTAAAAGTAGGCAACAAAATGTTTAGAATTCCGGAGTCCGTTGATCTTTTTTCACTGCATACTTTTAGACACTCCCATAGGTGTAAACTAAAAATAGGTTTGGGGAATTCGGAGTATAAGTTTCTTTAAAATGTAGGTAAAAACATTTTTTATTTTAGATTAAATTTATTTTTTAAAGATTCCCAAAATAAAAATGTAGTTTTAACTTCAATATTTAAACAATTGCTTATACTAAAATGTTTTTCTAATAAAGTAAAGTTGACCATTTCATGGTTTCAATTTAATTTTCTAATTCTTTTATCTTCCCTTGTTTTTCCTGCACAATCACAGTTCAAACTGACCCTTTAAACTGCTCCTTTCTCGCATTGTTCCAACAAGTTACGCATACGCAGCGGTGGCCAAGTGGCTGACGATAGATTAAGTAGCTGACAAATGCTTTGATTACTTAATCAGGCTGCCAGGATAAGGCCAGATGAAGCGAAACGAGCGCTTAAACGAGCTTTAAATGTGCCCCTGAGTCAGCAGGCGCACAATCGCAATCCCATTTCCCATTTTCCATTTGCCAGCGCCACCCAACGAGTTCGTTGCAGTTGCACTTGCCACTGCAGGATGCAGGATTCAGAGTGCCGAGTGTAGAGTGCAGAGTGCCGAATGCAGGATGCCGGAGAAACCGGGGGCCGTGCAAGTGGCAAATTTAATTGAAATTGAAAGCACTTTTGTGTCCTTTTGCCCTGGCTGTGCTCTGCTGTGCTGCCTTGACTCGCTGCTGATTCCCCACTGATTCTCCACTGACCCTGCCCCACCCGACCCGCTCGACTGCATCCAACTAATTTGTGCCACTAATGAATTTATTTGCCACTTGTATGCTGGAAAACGCGGGCGTGGCGAATAAAACAAAATAAATGAAAGTAAT